GAAGACCCCCAACGAGATGGATCGGCCAGGTGGCATCATTGATGGACTCAGGGGTGGCAGCGGTGGTGAGGTTGGCCCAGGATCGAGCATTGTTTTGTTCTGCTGTGCTTGGGGTTGCTATGAGTCGGTTCCAACTCGATGGCACCTGACAACAACAACAGGTGTTCCCTTACTGTACCCTGGTAGAGTGCTATAGGATACACACTGGACTGCTGATTGCAAGGTCAATTGTTCAAATCCACCAACCACTTTCAGAAACCCTACGTTGTTGTAGTTAAGTTCCGCCAAGTCAGTTTGACTCATAGCGACTCTATATGGGAGGGTTTCCAAGAAGTTTCTGGTGGGTTTGAATTGCATACCTTGTGGTTAGCAGTCCAGTGCTTATCCTACCATGCCACACCAGAACTCCCAGAAATCCTATTTTTGTTGTTGTTAAGTGCTGTTGAGTCATTTGCAACTTATAGCGACCCTGTATAGGGTTTCCAAGGATTGGCTGGTGAGCTTGAACCACCAACCTTGTGGTTCAAATGACTTTGCAGTCCAGCGCATTAGCTCACAGTGCTACAAATGGAGTGGCTATTAGTCTAGACTTGAAAGCACACAACAACAATAATTAATTCTTCACTCAAAATCTTGGAAAAGACCTGCAAAGTGTTTTGATATTACATCAGCAGCTCTTTTTATTCTTAAAGGCATCCCTTAAATGATTTATGTCAGTACTGACATTTTGTTCTATCTGTTTGTCCTGTTTTGTTCTATCAACTTCTGTGAAAAGGGTGTTAAACACTCCATCTCGGACTATGCACTTACCTATTTATCTCTTTAATTCTGTCAATGTCTGCTTCATTTATCATGAAGTTTCGTTATTAGGTATATAAATTATCATGGTTTTTTATGCCTTCTGAATGAAACGACTCACTGATTATAAAATATCCTTTGAATCTGTGCTAATACTCTTCAGCTTGCAGTCTATTTTAGTTGATAATCATTTAGTCATTTCCTTTTCATGCTTATTATTTGCATGTTACATTTTTTTCTACTATTAATTTTCAACATATTTATGTTGACATCTTTCTTGTAGGCAACACATAGTTGAGTCTTTCCTTTTTAAAAAGCTGTTCTGATCAGTTGAAGTAGTCTATTGAAATTTAATATAATTATTGATATGCTTAAGGAGCTCTGGTAGCGTAGTGGTTACGAATCAGGCTGCGAAACTTAAGGTCACCGGTTCGAAACTACCAGCCGCTCCACGGGAGAAAGATGAGGCTTTCTACTCCCGTAAAGATTTACACCCTCGGAAACCCTGTACAGGGTCGCTATGGGTCAGAACCGACTCAATGGCACTTAACAACAACAACAATTGATATGCTTATATTTAGGTCTCACCATGAATTTTTTTTTAATCTCCTCTGTTTCTTATTCTTCTATAACGCCTTTCCTTATTTCTTTGGCATTCTTTGAATAATTTTACAATTCCATTTTATCTATTGACTTTAGATATACTTCTTTGTGGTATTTAATTTTCAATGTATTTAGATAATATTGTACCACCTAAGGAGCTCTGGTAGCGTGGTGGTTATGAATCGGGCTGCTAACCTCAAGGTCAGCAGTTTGAAACTACCAGCTGTTCCTCAAGAGAAAGATGAGGCTTTCTGCTCTGGTAAAGATTTACAGCCTCGGAAACCCTGTGCAGGGTTACTATGAGTCGGAACCGACTCCACGGTACTGAACAACAACATAAATGATAAACAACTGCATGTGTGTTTCATTTATTCTCTACCCTATCCTTTCTGCTTTAATTGTCATTAATTATTTCACCGTACATAACTAACACTCAAAGATGTCACAATTTTTGTTTTAAACAATGCTTTATGATTTTTTTTTGGAGGGGAGTATATTTTCTAAATTTTTTTTGTGTGGAAGGGTCAGATCAGCTAAGAACTTACTAGTCATATTAGTAGCAAGAAACTTTGTTATTTTGTATTTCTTATTTTTCTGGTTGTTTGCTCTGTCTTTAATGCTAGACTTACTACTAACAAGTTGCTTCTGAGTCATACCACGGCACTATGGGAAAGAGTAGAGCTACTCTTAAGGGTTTCTGAGACAGTAAATCTTTCAGACCATGTGGCCCTTTGTTCCTTTTTAAGAAGTTCTATCTGCATATCATTATTCTCAAAGGCTGAATGATCAGACAGGGACTATTTCCTTGTGTGACTTCAAAATATCATTTTTCTCCTGAGGACACTCTATTTTTCTACTTGCAGGAAATCTGTGTAGTTGAGGAACTTTCTCACAGTTGACTACTTAGACTTTGAATGAATCATTTCATTATTAGCCTAGCAGCTCATCTTGATCTCAGCTGTGCTGGACAGCTCTATCCCCACAGTCTCTGGGGTTCCATTTCCTCACAGAGAAAACCTTTCTAACTTTGGCCTGATGGTGCAGAGTAGGGAAGTGCACTTAAAAGCCCAAACTTTTTAGTAGTCTTTTTATATTTTAGCCCCACCTTCATCACAGAATTCAGAAGTTCCTGGTGACTTTAATGTTTTGAGCTTTTCTGGCATTCTGTTATTCCAATTGGATTCCTTTTTGTTGACTCCTGTGCCCCCTCCACCATCCCTAGGCAGTTACTTTTTTTTTCTTCCCATTCTCCTAATTCAGTTAGCATCCATCCTATTTCAATCTGCCACATGTTATTGACATGGTCTCCTCTCATGTACTCTTTGTCCTTTGTGTTCATGCTTTTTGTTTTTTCACTTTCATTTAGGTGGAGTTTTTGGAGGGAAATAAGTGTATGCATATGTTCTCTTTTTCTGACTAATAAGAAGTAAATAAATTACAAAGGACCGATTTGAAGAGAAACATAATATTTTTAGTGAATGATAAAAGCAGCTCTTCTCTTCACCATATTAGACTGGAACCGTAGTGAACCAGGGAAAACAAGAGGGCTTACTCTCCAAGCAAGCAAATCCAGTGTATGAGGGGTGGTGGTACTTGTGTATGACTTAGAATGCTAAACTTTCTGAGCAAGAAGTGACTTGTAGTTTTTTTTGGAAGAGTGGTTCCCACACTTTACTTGACATTTCAATAGAGAAAACAGATAAAACTCATGATACATATATACTGAAAAAAAATTTCGTAAAACTTCTGAGACTACTTTCAAGAATATTGAGATTTACAAAGCACAGATGGAAAACCATTTCTTTAGTTGTTGTTAAGCGCAGTCGAGTCAGTTCCGACCCATAGTGACTCTGTATAGGATTTTCTAGGAGCAGTTGTTGTGTTTGAACCACCAACCTTGTAGTTAGCAGTCCAGTGCTTATCCTACAGTACCACAATAGGACTCCAGTGGTGGCATGCTACATTACCTTAACCCAAAAAGCATGTACAGTCATTTCTTTGGTATAAAACTTTTGAGAATGTTAAGAAGCGATAATAATACTAATTAAAATTTCTTGAGCACTCATTATGTTTGGAGTCCTGATGTGGTGCTATAGGATGTAAGCACTGGACTGCAACATAGTTTGAACTGCAGGATTGGAGTTTCAAATTCACCAGTTGCATCTTGTAAACCTTATATATGGTCACAATTGAATCGGAACCAATTTGGCAGCACGTAACAACATTATATTTAGATATTACATATAGTACCTCATTTAGTTCTTAAACAATGCTGTAAGGCGCCCTGGTGCTGTAGGATGATGGGCTGCTAACCACACAGTCAGCGGTTCAAACCCACCAGCTGTTCCTAGGAAACCTTATGTAGGATTGCTGAGTTGGAACCAATTCGACAGCACTTAACAACAAATAATTCTTCCCATTTCATAGATGAGGAAACTGAGTTCTGGAGAAGTTAAGTACTTGGCCTTGGATATGCAAATAGGAAATGGAAGAGTTGGGATTCAAACCCAGCTAGTCTGTGTGACTCAAAGTCTACTCACTTAATGAGGACATGACACTGGACATGGCCTGAGGGTCTTTTAGCTTCTTAGGAGCACCCTGAAAACTGTCATTGTGGTTGCTGGTGCTGTACACTGAGGTCTGCCTTTTGTTTGTGACAAAAAAATGCAATAATGGGCTAGATTGAAACAAAGAAGCAACACATGTCTTTGATCCTTAGGCAACGCCAGCTACCAGATACCCCACCCTATTCTGCATCAGACCCATGCTCTCCTCCACAGATCACAGGTGAGTGAGACCCACCATCTTGCACTGCTATTCTTCTTGGACTGTCAGTGGTAAGAAAAAGAGGCGCTTTTCACTTTTGTCTTCTCCCAGGTGCATGCTACCCAACTCTGAGGCCTGCAGCTGAGAGGACTCCAGCTACCTTTGTCCACTCTGCAACTGCATCTGGGATGCTACCTTTGCAACCGCCACAGAGCACATCAGAACCGAGCAACTCTGACCCTACTTCCCGTGGCTTTCACAACTGCTACCCAAGCACCAATCATCCTGCAATTCCCCTGGACCAATCCATATCCTCCCATCTGGAGATAAATTGTTCTTACCATCAGCAGCCTCTGTGCCACAGCCCTGGGTAAAGAGCAAAATACTTAGATATGACTGGCCACAGTAGAAAGCCTCAGAGTAGTTAGGAACCCCCTTCGTTCCCCTCCCCTGCCGCCCCCTGGGTAGTGACTGTCAAGGGACTGAGCAGTAGAAGCCTCTCCAGCAGATGGCAGTGTTGAGACATGCATCAGATTATGGCAAGTAACTAATGTTCTTAGATTTCTACAACGCTAATTAAAACCTGTTGTTGTTAAGTGCCATCCAGCCAGTTCTGACTCACAGAGACCCTGTATAGGGTTTCCAAGGAACAGCTGGTGGGTTAGGCCAAAAGTCCTTATATAAAGAAAGGTTAAATGTCAGAATATATGTAGTGGTTCTGGGTGATGGAAGAAGCACTGCCTATGCATCCTCAGCTAGACTGCTCGAGTGAATTTATGAATGAACGCTCAGAAAAAATCTGCCAATTAATCACTAAAACATATTCTTTCCTTTCCACCTCCCTGCATTCTCTATTCTGGAACGACTCCACTACCCTCAAGTTGATTCTAATTCATATTTACTCTACTGAACACTGTGGAATGGTTCCTTAGGGTTTCTGAGATTGTAAAATTTTATGGGACTAGACAGACTCATCTTTCTTTCAAAGGGCGGCTGGTTGACTTGAACTGTTGACCTTTTGGTTAACAGCCCAATGCTTAACTCACAAAGCCCAAAGCCCCACTAGGGCTATTTGTTCTGGAACTAGAGTATGGCAAAAAAGAGTAAAGGCCATCACATGTTTTGGCAAAAAATGAGCTATTCCTCTGCCTTTGACAGTGCTGTCAGTGTATTTGTAAAGTGGTGAATCCCAGGCCAATTGAATAGAGGAAAACGAAGTCTCGGGCTATCAGTGTTCAAAGACCCTTAATTAATTGCTATTAGATTCAGGAAATTCTGTAGACAGAGACCCAGGAAATTCAGTTTGACTGCATGCAGCACAGAGAGCAAAGAAGAGCCTAACCTTCACTTTGCTTTCCTGATTTTAGAGATTCATTGCCACCAACCAAAAAGAGGAGGCACACACAAGTGCTAGAAGACTCCGGGGACTGCCAAGTATGGTCCCAGTATTCCAGACCAAGTGAACCAGGTCAGTGGTGGCACAATGGTACCTCTGAGATCAAGGCATTTTAAACCAGCCTTTGAGTACCCTATAGTTATTTTCTCTCTCATAGAAGATGTTCTGGAAGTTTATTTCCTCCCTCATAACATGAAATTTCTCAATCTTAAGTGGAGCACAATTTCTCTGGGGGAGGTGAAATGCCGGTCCTTTTAGTTTGGAGCTAGGCCCCAGGCCAGGTGGACAGCACCTTCAAGAGCCTTCTGATATGCCTATTGTTGTGTGGGGTGAGATGCTTATCAGCTTTTACACATGCGCGTGAATAGCCTATGTTCTTGTCAAAATGCTGATTAAGATTCAGTACCTCTGATGCAAGGTCCTTATTGTTGTAAAGTGCCATGGAGTTGGTTCTGACTCATAGTGACCCTGTATAAAGTTTCCAATGAGGGGCTGGTGGGTTTGAACCACTGACCTTTTGATGAGCAGCCCAGTGTTTAGCCTATAGTGCCACACCAGGACTTCAGGGTAGGGTCCTACATCCTGTATTTAACAAGCTCCACAGATGATGCTGGTGTAATGCTGCAGGTTCACATTCTGAGAAGCAAGATTCGAAATAATTAATTTTGCTAGTAGAGCAGAAAGGTGGAAAGTTGCATTTTCTTAACCATCTATTTAATTAGCGGGTTTCCAAGACAGATCTTTTCAATTCTGTAAAATTATTTTATAAGTTTTTCATCAAAATCATTTGATGCCTAAGTGGTCAGCCTGCTTTGTTCCCTGTTTTATATAACATGTGAGACATCATGGTTTGAGCTTAGAGACCTGATCAAGTTGAGAATGAATTAATTTATAGGGTAAATACTATGACACTGGTAGATTCAGGTCAATTCTATTAACTGTTGTACAAGCTTAGATGTAGTCCCAAATTGAGAACACTAAGTCACATTTCTTCTACCCTCATGTGTCAACTTGGCAAGATGCCCAAGATTTCCCTCTTGACCACCCCACAACTTCCCCAGCTATAGACCACAAATTTCTAAGGGATATACTGCTTTGAAAACTTCAAAAGAAGATGGAATGAATACACAGAGTCACTGTATCAAAAATAAATGGAAGATGTTGAACCATTTCAAGAGACAGTGCATGATCAAGAGCCAATGTACTGAAGGAAGAAATCTGAGGGACACTGAAGACACTGGCAAAGAACAAGACTCCAGAATTGATGAAGTACAAATAGAAATCTTTCAACATCTAAAATAATACTGGAGGTACTCATTCATCTATGCCAAGAAAATTGGAGGACAGCTACCTGGCCAGCTGATTGGAAGAGATCCATATTTGTGCCTATTCTAAAGAGAGGTGATTCAACTGAATGTAGAAATCATCAAACAATATCATTAATACCATATGTAAATAAAATTTCACTAAAGATAATTTTTAAATGGCTGCAACAGTACATTGACAAGGAACTCCAAGAGGTTGAAGTTGGTTTCTGATGAGGACATGGAACAAGGGATAGCATTGCTGAAGTCAGATGGAATTTGGTTGAATACAGAGAATACCAGAAACATGTTTACCTGTGCCTTATTAAGTATGCTAAGGCTTTTGACTGTGTGGATCAAGACAATCTATAGACAACATTGTGGAGAATGAGTATTCTGGAACACTTAATTGTGCTCATGAGGAACCTGTATACAGATCAAGAGGCAGTTGTTTGAACAGAACAAGGGCATACCGAATGGTTTAAAATTAGGCAAGATGCGTGCCAGTGTTGTATCCTTTTGCCATACTTATTCAATCTGTACTCTGATAAATAAGATGAGATGCTGGATTATATGAAGAAGAACATAGCATTAGGATTGGAGGAAGATCCATTTACAACCTGAGATATGCAGATGATACAACCTTGCTTTCTTTAAGCAAAGAAGACTTAAAACACTTACTGACGAAGACCAAAGACCACAGCCTTCAGTATGAGTTGCACCTCAAAGAAATGAAAACAAAACTCCTCATCACTGGACTAATAAATAGCATCATGCTAAATGGAGAAATGATTGAAGTTGTCAAAGACTTCACTTGCTTGGGTCCACTACCAACACTCATGGAAGCAGCAGTCAATAAATTAAACAATGTATTGCATTAGGCAAATCTGCCGCACAAGACTTCAAGAGCAAAGATGTCTGTTTGAGGATTGAAGTGGATGTGACCCAAATCATACTATATATGTCAAAGTTGAACATTGAATAAGGAAGACTGGAGAAGAATATTAGAAGTACCTTGGACTGCCAAAAGAACAAACAAATCTGTGTTGTAAGAAGTACAACTTGAAGAAGCCAGGATAACCAGACTTCATCTTTCATACTTGGGACATATTATCAGGAGAAACCAGCCCCTGGAGAAGGACATGATGCTAGGCATAGTGGAGGGTCAGCGAAAAAGAGGAAGACACTTAAGGAGATGGGTTGATTGGCATAGTGGCAGCAGTAATGGGCTCAAGCTTATCGACGATTGTGAGAATGATGCAGGATGCGACAGTGTTTTGTTCTGTTGTGCACAAGGTCTTTATGAGTTGGAACTGACGCGATGATACCTAACAATAAGTAAAATCAACAAGAGTTGCTGTATTAAAGCTGGTTCTCTAAGTCCTACGGAAGCTGCAGGTCCTTTTGGCAATGCCTGGCCTCAGCTCCAATGTGGACTGGAGAATTCTCTCAGTAGATGATGACTTTACCCCCTGAGCCAAACCCTACACATCACCAGCACACAGGAATGTTGTTTCTGAATTGCACTGGCATCTGCCCTTGCTAAGTGTCTTACCACCTCCTCTCATGTAACATAGATCCACGTGGCTAGGAGTTCATGAACTTTTTAAAAATCCTATTGTCGTTAAATGTTTTCAAGTCAATTCCTACTGATAGCCATCCTGTATAGGGTTTCTGAGGAGCAGCTAGTGAATTTGAGCCACCAACCTTGCAGTTAGCAATCCAGTGTTTATCCTACAGTGCCACACCAGGACCTCTTTTTAGCCCTAGCAGCTTAAAATGCTAATTAAAGCTTCCTTTCAGCTATATTGATCTCTCCATGCCCCTTCCTATGCAGGTTACCCTAATTTTTTCAGGGATTCCTGCATTCACCAGGCAACATGTTAATGATTTGGAAACACAAAAGGCTGAGTAAATTTCTTGCCAGATGAGAGAACCATCTGTTCAGGCTCCTGCTGATGTACCTACTCACTGAGGGAGGCAGGCAAGAGTGTCCTTGTCAAGCCAGACTGTGTCCTGGTTCTCCCAGCCACGGCAGAGTCAGCACTCCATCCTTTGATGGCTTTCTTCTTCAGGTTCCCTGAGAAGGAATTCATTTTCACCATCTCCAGAAAACAGTCATGAAAGAGTAGCCAACATGTCCCAATAGATAAGGAATCTGGAATCTCTAATTTAAGTCCTATTAAAAAATCACTGAAAAGCTGACAGAGAGCATTGATTTCAGACTATACTTCCAGAAGGAAAATGAGCAGGTTCCCAGAGTCTAAAAAAAAAAAAAAAAAAGAATAGTCCCAGGGAAATGGCACATTGGTAGAGGAGAGAGAAACTATGCCTGTCTTGTAGGCAGGAGAAGAATTACTGGGTTGTGATGGGAGAAAATACTCAAAATCAATCGATAAGAAGGTTCCTGGGACCATCAAGGGAGAAGAGCCGAGAGTGGGACCCTACCCAGAGAAGCAGTGATGCCTGAGATGGAGGCAGAGACGATGATGTGGAGAGATGGAGCAGCTGGGGACTCTAGACCCAGAGAGGGAGAGGGGCTGTGTGATGACTACTGTGTGGGGGGAGTGGGGGCAGGCTTGCAGGGTATACACTTTGGTTGGATGATGATGTGTGGAGGGAATTATAACCATGGCAATGAAATGATATACAAAAGGATGAATGTAAAACTAATGTTCTCCCATGTAAACTATCACATAATTCACAATAAAACATTTAAAAAAAAAGGATTAAAAAAATCTATCGATAAGACTTTTTTGGTAACCTTCACCGAAACAGTACGTTTTGGCTAAGGCTTCTAAGATCCTTGTTTACAGGATTCACAATGTAAAATCACCAGATTGGTGTGGGTAGATGTGAAATTTTACTTAGATAAAAAGCAGCAGGTGGGAACCAAGGCTGATTCTTGGTATCATTGGTCTGAACCCCCAATCTAAAAGGGTTTCTTGTCCTACATGGAGTCGCTGGGTAGCACAAATGTTTATGTTCTTAACTACTAACCAAAAGGTTGGCAGTTTGAATGTACCCTGAGATACCTGGGAAGAAACATCTGGCAATCAGCTTCCAAAAAGTTACAATTTTAAAATGCTATGGAGCACAGTCCTACTCTGCTATACTTGAGGCGGTCAAGAGTGGGAAGCGACTCAATGACAACTAATTTCGTTTTGGCCCGTGTGGCTGGAACTCCAAATTGCAAAGGTTTTTCCAGCCCCAAAAATGTGGCTTTTTGACACACAGTGAGAAATGAACAGGCTAGATTCACACCATTGTTGCTGTTGTTATTAAGTGTTGTCAAGTCAGTTCTGACCCATAGCGACCCTGTATAGTGTTTCTGAGGAGTGGTAGGTCAGTTTGAAATCCAACCTTGCAGTTCAAACTTACCTTGCAGTCCAGTGCTGATCCCAGGCAGAAAAGGTGCCTTACTCATCTCCCAATAAATTGTTGTTGTTGTTGTTATGTGCTGTGGAGTCGGTTTTGACTCATAGCGACCCTGTACAGGATTTCTAAGGCTGTAAATTTTTATGGGAGCAGAAAGTCTCCTCTTTCTCCCATGGAACAGCTGGTGGTTTCGAACTCCTGATCCTGAGGTTAGCAGCCCGATTCGTAACCACTATACTACCAGAGCTCCTTTCCCTATAAATAGAGATTTTTAAAACCTTCCTTTTCTTGATTATCAAGTGGGAATCATGATTTTTACTTTACTTGTATCCAAGATTTTTATGTGTATAAAATATTTTTAAATGTAGTCAAATACAAGCTCTTAGTTTTTTCCAAAAGGCTGGATCTTGGGCAGCTTTCTGCTTTCACGCTTCAGCTTCTTTCTGCTTTTAGATCTTCTCAAGAAATGCTCAGTAAAGCGTGAAAGGAAGAGAAAGGTTCCACTTAACAACTGTGACACTGGACAGGTTATGTTAGGTCTTTGAACCTCAGTTTCCACTTAGTCGACTGAGATGAAGAGTCATTATATCATAACTGCTTTAGAAATCTATTTGGTGCCATCTACTAAAACATACTCAGAGATTCTACTCCTAGGAACATACCTAACAGAAATGTGTATATATGTCTACCAAAAGACATGCACAAGAAAGCCCATAGCAGCATGATTTTATAATAACCAAAAAATAAAAATAACTGGCTGTCAACAGGAGGATACATTGTGGTCCAGTCACACACTGGGATAGTGTGTAAGGTACAACAGTAAAAATGCACATGCTACTATGAGTCAGTACCGACTCGATGGCATCTAACAACAACAACTGTTGTTTGCAATAACAACAAATGACTTTTATAAACTTTATGTTGGATGAAAGAATCTAGCATGGATGAATACCTACCATATGATTTCAATTCTGTAAACTCCTCTGTGGTATTAGATTTGAGCAAGAGGGAAGAGTCATTGAAAAGGAGCAAAGGGGTGTCTTTTGGGATGCCAAAACCAAAAACCAACTTGTCAATAAGTTGATTCCAAACTTATGGTAACCCCATTAAAGAGTAGAGCAGCTCCAATGGGTTTTCTTGGCTGTAATCTTTACAAAGGTAGATTATTGCCAGACCTTTCTTCCCCAACACTTCTGGGTAGGTTTGAACCACCAACCTTTAAGTTAGTTGTTGATCAAAAACCTTTGTTTTGGCCACTTTATTTCTTGTTACACAGAATTCATTTTATAAAAAATATCAAACTATGGTGTACTAATGTACTTCATGTATATTGTACTTCAACTTAAAAAAAAAAAGTTTTATTGGGGGAAAAAAAAAAGAAAGAATCCTTACATTGCAGGTGAATTAAGGAGTTGATGAGATTCTTATGGTGTGGAGAGTACTCAGTACTGGTAAATATTATTATCACTGTTATTAGTAATAATAAGTTCCAGCATTGAGCTCAAGCTTACTCCTGGAATTCAGTGTGGACTTGCAGTCCTCGATTCTGTTCTCTAGGGTCTCACTTTGTGGCTCACCATCTAACAAACTAGCAGACAGGGAAGACACAGCTCTGTTACCCATTTGAGATGGCCCCTCCTAGACTCTTGCTGCTGTGACAGGAAGGGGCAGGAAAGGCAATTGTCCTTGAGGACCATGCTCGCTGCCCACTGCTGACCCTTCCCATCAGCATCTGGATCAGTGGGGCCAGCCTTTGGCTGTTTCCCTGCCACATTGATCTTGCTCTCATGCTTGAGTGGGAAAGGCCTGAATGAACTATCATTCAGTCAGGCATCCAGTGATAACTTATTTTACGGCAGGTTGAGTTACCATGGAGGCCAAGATCAGAAGTACTTGAAGACTTAAGGATAGCTGAGTCACCTGAATTGAAACGAGCAGATTAATAAAAACAAAAGGCATCAGTGCTTAAACTCTTACTGGTGGCAGACACTGTGCTCTGCCTTTTGCATGCTATCTCTTTGAGTCCCTTCAACAGTCCTGGAAGGTATTGTTTTGTTACTTCCGTTTTTCAAATGGGGAAACTGCAGCTCAGAGAGCTTACATTATTTTTCTAAGACTTACAGAGTTGAAATTCAAACCCAGGTTCATCTTACTCCAGACTCTAAACTCTTGACCCTTCCTTTACCCTCTCTCCATTACATGAGAGAGAAAGGAAAGATGGAAGAGCTGCTTTCTGCCTTCTCTGAGCTTTGTCTCAGCGGGCAAGCAGGGAATGGGGTGTGTTTTGCTTTGTTGTTTGTTTTGGAAGAGCTTCCAGGCCAATAGCTTTTGGAGGGGTGAGTACTCAAAGAGTGCCTCATCTTTCCCACCTCCAGGACTCTGTGCTGAGAAAAGAGATGAGATTTTTGAGGAATCTTTGCAAAAAGGCATGCTACTGCTCCCAAAGATATTTTGCTCACACGGCATTTAATAGTGATGCCCTAAGAAAAATACATTGTCTGTGAAGTTAGAGGTCAAAAAAAACCTCAAAGGAGCTCTGCTATTTGTTTTGAGATGTTCTCAGTGGAAGTATAAAGAAAGGAAGGTTCGATGAGTCAAGGAAAGCCCAGTCATTTTCTCCTCCATTTTCTAAGCTGTGGGCTAAGTACATACTTCATAGGAGCTAATGTCATATTTCTCTCTTGTTGCTTACAGCCTGTACTGGGTCATGTGAACCTTCTTGTTCACATCTAATGTCAGGGATGAGTGATGGTAGCGGGGAAACAGAAACAATGAACGTAGGAATAAAAATTACCTGAGGTTGAATTGTTGAGTTTGGGAGGCATATTCAGACAAACAATTATTGCACGGATGATGCAAAATGGTAGGATGTTCATGTGAATTTGCCATTATGTTTTACCTATAAAAATGGCCATTGCATTTGGTTGAAATTATTAAGAACAAAATCTTCTATGTGAGTTTGTTTGGTTTTAGTTTCTGAAAGTGCTTTCACTTCTATTGTCTTATGTTCTCTGCTTATGTAATGTTTTAAGACAGGCAGAACACGTGGTTTTAATTTCTGTTTTGCAGAGGAGGTAAGTCAGACTCTAAGTGAATAAATAACTTATCTAAGTTCAAACAACCAGCTGAACCACAGAATTGTGGGGCCACCAGGGCCCTGAAACAAATTAATATATATATTGATGGCAGGAAAAAATGCATGAAATTATATCTTAAGCAAATGAGAAAAAGAAATTATCTTAAGTAAGAGAGAAAAAGAGGGGGCAATAGCTTTTTGACCTCTGTGACCCAAGATTTAAGGCTGGATCCCAGAACTTAAATCATCTCATCAGGACCTTGGTCCCCCCGATTCTTAACTCTGCTGTTTGCTGTGCTAGTTAGGCCTTTTCCTCATAGTCCCAAACTAGTGCCAGCAGCTCTTGGGGATGTTTCTCACAGGTTCAAAGACAATGGAAGAGCATAAGAAAGCATCTTTGAAGCACATTCCCTGAACTTCTCCTTCTCTACTGGGATTGATTAGGCCCTGAAGCAGATGTGTCCACCCCAGATGCAATTATTGGATGTTGTACATAGATTGCTCAAACCTGGGTCACCTACCTTCCTGCACAGACTATATAGGAAATAGGGTAGATAGATTTTGTTATTGCTGTTGTTAAGTGCCATCAAATCTGTTCCAACTCATAACAACCCAATATAGGATTCTGAGTTTATAAATGTTTGTGGGAACAGAAAGCCTCATCTTTCTCCAGGGGAGTGATTGCTGGGCTTGAACTGCCTACCTTGTTCACAGTCCAGTGCTTATCCTCCTACAGAGCCAATGTGCTCCCAGGGGAGATAGTTGTTGTTAAGTGCCATGAAGTCATTTCTGACTCATAGTGACCCTGTGTAGGGTTTCCAAGGAGCAGCTGGTGTGTTTGAACTGCTGATTTTGCAGTTTGCAGTTCAGTGCTTATCTTACAGGGCCACACCAGGACTCCTTGGGAGATAGATACTAGGGGCAAATTTTCCAACAAGTACCCACCAGAGATACTTGGAGATGACTGAGCTCAGTCGTCTGTTGGCAGATGGGCAAATGAGGCTGCAGTATGCCTCCTGCCTCCCACACTTAGCACTTTCTATGAGGTAATTCTGCGTCAGACACGGTCTATTCATAAGTTCCATGAATCTGTCTGTTAGTCTAGAAAACTGGCCTGACAGAGAAGATTTAACCCACTTATTTCCTTGCAGTGCCAAGTAGGAGTTATGGCAACGAAGTACAAGACCACGACAGTGAGGGACAGAACATGATCCATGTGGACCAGTGCTCACCAGCTCTGAAGTGGCAGCCATATCAAAGTGTCCCCTGGCACAGCTTATTAAACCATCGTTATGAAAAACTGTAAGTGACTTCTGGAATGCCTTGTGGTGGGCTAGAGACTCAGGAGAGAAGGGCAGTGCTAAATCTCAGGATTAAATACAAACATTTGGGTTTTGATACTAGCCCTGATCAAATGGGATGGCTCAAGGAGAATGTCTGTATTTTACTGCAGTTTTACATATAAACTGGTGACAGTTGGAACATGGGAACTCAGACCTGTATTTTAAATAATTTTATGTTATCCACTAAATTATGACCACCACTTGTCTGTTAGCTTGTTGTACTATGGTGGCTTGCATGTTGCTGTGATGCTGGAAGCTATGTCACTAGTATTTTAAATACTAGCAGGGTCACCCATGGTGGACAGGTTTCTGCAGAGCTTCCAGACTCAGACTAGGAAGAAGGAGAAGAAGACTACTTCTGAATGTTTCTTGTTGTTGTTGTTAAGTGCCATCTAGTTGATTCCACTTCATAGAGACCTGAATAGGGTGTCCGAGGAGCAGCTGGTTGGTTTGAACTGCAAACAGATTTGTGGTTTGTAGTCCAGTGCTGATTCTACAGCACCACACCAGAAGTCTGAATGTTCAGCTTCTGAAAACATTATGAATAACTGAGGAACACTGTCAGAAATAATGCTGGAAGACGAGCCACTCAGATTGGAAAGCACACAGAGTACAAGTGAGAAAGAGCTGTCTCCCCAAAGTAGAGTTGACCTTTGTCATGTGATGAATGGAACAAAGCTTTCAGAACTTTCATTTACTGATGGGGCACAACTCAAAATGGGAAGAAGTAGCTGCAAACATCCATTAATAATTATAACCTAGAATGTATGGATTATGAATCTAGGAAAGTTAGAAGTCATCAGATATGAAATGGAACACACTAAGATCAATATCCTAGTCTTTATTTATTTATTTTTCAGGACCATTCAGTCAATTCCAACCCATAGCAACCGTGTATAGGGTTTCCAAGGAGTGACTAGTGAGCTTCAATTGCCAACATTGTGGTTCTAATCAACTTTGCAGTCCAACACATTAACACACAACACAACACCAGGACCCCATCCTAGTCATATGTGAGGTGAAATTGACTGGTATTTGCCATTTTGAATTGGACAATCATATGGTTTATTTGCCAAGATGACAAATTGAAGAGAAATGGTGCTGCATTCCTCATCAAAAAGAGCATTTCAAGATCTATTATGAAGTACAGTGTTGCCTGTGATAGGATAGTATCCATGTACCTACAAGGAAGACCAGTTAACACCACTCTTATTCAAATTTACACACCAACCCCTGAAGCCAGTGATGATGAAATTGAATTCTACCAAATTCTTCAGTCTGAAATTGATCAAACATGCAATCAAAATGCATTGATAATTACTGGTGATTGGAATGCAAAAGTTGGAAACAAAGAGGAAGAATCAGTAGTTGGAAAATATGGCCTTGGTGATAGAAATTATGCTGAAGAGCAATTGTGTGATAGAATTTTGCAAGACTAATGATTTCTTTCATTGCAAATACCTCTTTTAAACAACATAAAAGACACCTGGACCTATCCAGATGGACTACACAGCAATAGAATTGACTACATCTGTGGGACTTTTCAGGAAAGTGAGGCAGCACAGGAGGCACTCACTCATCTCTGCCAAGAAATTTGGGAGACAACTGTCTGGCCGACTGATTGGAAGAGATCAATGTTTATGCCCATTCCAAA